TAATTGGGGAAATGCCAGGGTGACAATGGGGGCAGTTGGCAGGGGGCCAGGGTGGCTTCTGGCTTCTCTTTGGCCCTGGGGGTATTGCCGGCCCTACAGGGATGGGCTGGGGTGCAGGCGAGGAGGGGCAGGCTATAGGCCCAGGGCTGGGGTTCAAGCCCCTTCTGGGGCCACACGGAGCTCTAGTTAGAACGGCTGTCACATGTTGACACTTTATCTGCATTTTCCACTCACCATCCCCATGACAGCCTCACGAGGCTGCTGCTACAGCATCCCCATTTTCAGAGGGGAAATCGAGGCTCAGAGGGAGGAGGTTGAGTTGCCCCAGGCCACAGAGCCGGTACGCGGTGTGGGCAGATTCAAACCCAGGTCTGCTGGCTCTAAGGCCGACAGCCTTACCCTCCTGGTGCCACCAGCAATCCAGCCCCAGACGGCCCACAGCTGACTTGCAAACCCACGGCAGTGGAGGCCGCTGGTGTAGCTGCACCTTCACTTCTCAAGTATGGAGGTGCCTTTGCCTTTCGGGACAGGGCATTTGAGTGGCTGGGCTATGCCCGTCTCCTCTGGCCACCCTCAATAGCCCTGGGCTCAGGACCCATCCTCCAGCCCCCAGCCCCCTCCCCGGGCCCACCTGATGGCTCTGAGCCAATTTTCCGGGTGGGAGCTGCAGGGCGGGGGGCTGATAGCTGCTGCTGGTGGGGTTTTCAGAGAAGTGAGTTCCTAGCTGGGGACAGGGAGGGGGTGGTGAAGGAAGGAGGGGTCTGGCCTGGGCAGTGGAGGGGGTGCCCGGAGCTCTCAGTTTCTGGGTCACTGGTCTTGGGGAATTCCCGATGCCCAGAGAGCTGCTTACCTGGTGAGTAACTGCTGCTGCTGCCCACACAGGATGCCTGGCTGCGAGGGGACCGCCCCCCACCCCTGCCGATGGCCACTGCCATGCTGCCCTCTCTCCTGAGCGCCCCGGGGCCCAGGAAAGAAACAGACAGACAGGCAGGGGGCTGGCTCCCGCCCCCTCGTCCCCCACTGGGGCTCCGCAGGGGGTGTCTGGTGATTCAAGCCCCTCTGAGCAGAGCTGTGTCTCCTTCCTTCTCAGATGGGGCCTGGGGGTGAATCAGCCTCTGGGGGCGGTGAGGCCGGGTCAGCTGCTGTCCTAGCTCAGGCCTGGGGTGGGGGTGGTGAGGGGCCAGGCTGGGCCATGGGGACACACTGCCATGCTAACCCCCCAACCCATCCGATCTTTCTGGGGCACCCCTGACGCTGGAGGCCATGAGGGGTTCCTGCCTCCATTTCCCGTCAGTAGGAGGTTGAGAGGTCCCTCTCCTGCCCTGCTCCTCTGCCCTCAGCCCTGGAGTGTGCCAGAGTGTCCTCATCTGTCAAATGGGGACATGAACCCCTTCTTCACAGGGACATCAACACAATCAGTGCTCGCATGTAGAGAGAGGGCTCGCGGGGTGCCCCGAACCACGCTGAGCCCTGAGCCCTCCCAGCAAACCCACTATGTAGATACCATTATTCCCATTTCTCGGATGAAGAGATTGAGGCCAGGAAGTGGTCACTTCCCCAAAGGCACCCAGCTCATACCTGGCAGAGCCCAAGCTCCAGCCTGGCTCTGAATGAGGCCAGAGTGCATCCTTCAAGCCACCAGACCTTCCCGTCTCCTCTCCATGAGAGATTTGGCACAGACAGGTTTGGAAATTATAAAACGCTTTCAAAAAATACTTAGCATCGACTCTGGGTGTAACCCTGAGCCAGGTGCCATCGACCGTACAAATGAGTGTCAGACCCCTTCCGAGCCCTCAAAGATAGGGGAATGAGACTTGTCCCCACTTGAAACAACAGCAGACGGGACAAGGCAGACCGGAGCTGGTGGAGGGTAGGGAGGCTTCCTGGAAGAAGCCGGCCTATGTGTCCCTGCCATGTCCCTGGCTCCCCTGAGAGCAGGGAACCTCTTCAGGTGCGGGGACTGCTGTGCCCTGCAAGCCAGAGACCCGGGCTCCAGAGTCGGCTCTACTGTCAACTCTGTGTGTGGCCCTGGGCAAGTGCCTTCACCTCTGCCAGCCTCAGTTTCCCCATCTGAAAAATAAGCAGCTGTGACATTCTACAAGAGGCTGGTGGATGGCAGGTAAAAGTCGGCAGGATTAGAGGGGCTGGGTGGCCGTCTGTGCCAAAGTGTGTAAGAGAGAGAGACAGCGCGCCAAGGGGCCCTGCCGAGGCCCAGGCCAGCCCATGCACTCACTTCCTGCACAGGGGAGAGGAGTGACTGTGGAGGCAGCACCCCTGGCCCTCGCCTGGCAGCCTCTGCCCAGCCTCGGGGGGGTGTCCATGTGGGCCTCAACTGTCCCCCTCTCCCTGAGGCCGGTCAAATCCCCAGCAGGCCCAGTCTGCAGGAGCCTGGGACGGCTGAGGATGAAGTCACAGCTGGAAGGGGCTGGGCTGGGGCTGCCACTCCAGGGTGGGGCCTGGGGTCACGACCCTGGGAGCAGGCAGCCAAGAAGGGAGGATGCCTTCCGTGAGGGAGCCGGGGAGGGGGGGACACACACACAGCAGCATAGAGAGGGAGGGAAGAAAACAAACTGCCAGAGACCAAAGCTGGCCTGGAGAGCAGCCTGGGCGGCTGATTCCTGGGGGGCCGCAGCCACGTTGCAGGCGGCTCCCAGACTCGCGCTCCGAGACCCTGCCCGGCATTCCTCCCAGAGGCCCAGTGCAGGTGGTGCCTGGACATGGACAGGAGGGGGAGGCTGGGCCCAGAGCACTTGGGGAGCACGAACCAAGCCAGGTACCGAGAGAGGGGAAACTGAGGCACGGGAGGGGCTGGTCAGGGCTGGGGTTAAGTGGCCCTAGCGTCAGCGCGTTCTGGATCCTGTCCTCACTTCCTGTTTCCTGTGGGGTGGGGCTGAGATTAAATGGCGACTGGGGGTGGATCATATGGCTGGTGTGGGGTCTGGGGAGCCAGAGGCGGTGCAAGGCCCTGGAAGTCCACTTGGAAGGGTGGTGCAGGGGACAGACAGGGCAGGACAGTGGACAGGGTGGTGGCCTCCAGAACTAGAGCACCTAGTGAGAGACTCAGGCGGGGGGACAGGGGATTGATAGAAGGGGTCACAACGGGGCCCTGGTCACATGGGTTTAGGGTCCAGGTCAGGCCGGGTCAGGTGACAGGGCTCTGGGCGGTGTGGAAGTGGAACCAGAGGCTGATGCAGAGCTCACGTGCAGGAGACACTGCGGGGAGGGGACGGCGGGGGGGTCAGCTGGGGTGTCCTGAGCCAGGCCGGGGCGGGTGGGCCTCCTGGGGGTGCATGCTGACCCGAGAGCAGGTGTGTGGTAGCAGTAAGTGCCAGGTGGGCCCTCCATGGCCCCCCAAGGAATAGACAAGATATGGGGGAGGCAGGAAGGAGGAAGGAGAGCCAGTCTGGGCTCTACTGGCCTCCTTCCTGCTGGGAAATGCCAGCTGGGACAGTTTTATCACCTCACATATGGGGCCCTGCCAAGAGAGCATGGGGGACCAAGAGCCTGGATAGGACAGGGTGTGGGGGGGCGTGGCAGCAGGCACAAGGGCTCTTCCTGGCACAATGAGGGAGGAGCGCGTGGCTGGGCAGGTCCGGGATGTGGCAAGAGGCAGGAGCTGGGGTCATGGAGGGTGGCCAAGGGGGTCTTAGGGGTAGGGTCAGGGCAAGGCTGCAGGAGCTCCCTGGCCTTGAAAAACCGACTCTTCCACCTTGATCTCAGGTCAGGGTCAGGTGGGAGGGCTGGAATGGGGTCCCTGGGGGATGAGATATCTCCTGGTACAGGGTGGGGGCGGGGGCTAGCAGCTTTGGGGACAGCATGGCCTGGATGTATGGCATGTTGTCTGGCCAGCACCCCCCACCTCATGGAGTGTTTTGGTTTTACTTTTTACTGCCTTTCACGGAGGAGGAGTCGCTGTGCTCACTTTGCCCTGCTCACCACCATTCCTTGGTGCCCACCCTCCTCATTCTAGAACCTGCCTGGCGCTGGCAAACACCAGAGTTTGTGACTCCAGAAGCACCTGCTGGGGCCGCCATCCTTCTCTGAGGCTGAGCTCCGAGGGGCTTCCCAGGCAGGTCTGGGAGGGGCTGGCTCAGCTCTCCCCCGCCCCCAGCATCCTGGGGAGAAAGCCGGGGTCCGACTTTGCCAAGCCACCCTCGGTCTTTGCTGTGGGTGTCCTTTTCAGAATGGGAATGCTGGACCACCTTTTCAGAAGCTATCTTGCAGACTGTCCCCAAAGAACCGGGTCACAGCCAGCTCACCCCCACGTCTTCCTAGCCCGGGGACCAGTGGTCAGTAGAGCAGGTACACTGATGGCACTCAGGAGGCCTGACCCTCTGGGGCCCTGGGCAACGAGCTCCCCTTGGAGCCCCTCTTGGCCCAGTGGCAATGGGCAGGTTGGACGAGGCTACCTCTGGGGTGGCTTCCAGCGCCCACGCTCAGCTTCGCTTTACTGCTGTCTAAAGTCCAAGCCGGGCCCCAGCCCCTCTTCCTGGAGCCTCCTTCTCAGCCAAGCCCCAGCCCGCCGGCTCCCACTGCCCCCCACAAGCCCCCCAACAAGGGGGCCACAGGTGCCAGCCTCCATCTCTTGTCCAGTGTCTCGCCACCTCCCCAAACCCAGGTGAGTCAGGGCGCCCACTGCTGGGGACCTCGCTGACTCGGCCTGGGGCCCCCTCCCCGACATCCCCATCTTCAAACAGTCCCAGGGCAAGCCACTCAGGAAAACCGCAGGCGTTTTGTCGCAGGCTTCATTATAATTTTATCAATCAGATTCTTAGAAGAGGGAAAAAGTCTGCTCTCCCTACCCTCCCACCTCACTCGTCCCCTCCCCCCGCTTTCTCTCTCACTTTCTTCCATTCATAATTTCCTATGATGCACCTCAAACAACTTCCTGGACTGGGGATCCCGGCTAAATATAGCTGTTTCTCTGTCTTACAACACAGGCTCCGGTATATAAATCAGGCAAATTCCCCATTTGAGCATGAACCTCTGAAAACTGCCGGCATCTGAGGTTTCCTCCAAGGCCCTCTGGAGTCCAGCCCATAATGAAGGTCTTGGCGGCAGGTAAATCCACCCGCCCCGCGCCGGCTTCCGCGTCCCCGCTGCGGGCGGCGGCGGCAACTTGGGGCACTTGGCGAGCGCGATCGGGACACCCACCCGCTGCAGACACACGGACGCTTGGGGCGCCCGCGCAGCGCCCGGGCCGCCGGAGGCGCTGGGTGGCGGCCGGAGCGAGCGCAGGCACATGGTCCCGGGCACCGCGCGCCCAGCCCGCCGCCAGCAGGTTGGCAGCCAGGGAGGGGGCCGCCGCAGCCTTCCTCCTCTTCCTCCTCCTCCTCACTCCCGCCACTGTCCCGTGCTGCTCTTCCCTCTCTGCTTCCTCCTGGATTCACCCTGCCTCTTTCTTTTTCTTTCTTTCTTTCTTTCCGCTTTCTCTTTTCCAACCGCGTCCCGGGCTGCTCCCGGGGAGGGCGCGGGCGGCTGAGCAGCTTGCAAACTCCGGCCTGGGACGGGAGCAGGTGCCGCCTGCGTCTGCTCGTGCCTGGATAGCCGCGGTCTGCGCTAGGTGAGATGGGGGTGTGGGGGCCCCCTAGCCATCCCGGGGCCTGAGCACTGCCTGGGGATGCTGACATGAACAGGGGACCCAGAAGAAGTGGCTTGAGGCTGCCACCATCCCTCCTGGCCCAGCAGGGGGATCCCGGCTAGAGGTCTCCAGCCTAGCGGGTCCCTGCTACCCTCAGGTGCCTCCAGCGGAGCTCTGGAAGGGCTAGTCTCAGGGAGCCTCGGTCGGAGGAAGCACCCCCGTCCCCCCAGTGGCCCTGGGTGGGGGGAGGGGCGATCTGGGACAGGCCCGTGCAGCTCCCAGCTGCCTGTCACCTTTCACTTTCCTTCCTCCCCACCCACCTGGCTGCCGGTGTGACCTTTTCCCCTTGGTCTTTCCTCGTGCACCATTTCCTCTCCCTCCCAAGGCTGGGTGGAGGCGGGTGGCATGTGGGACCCTTGGGTTCTGCTCACCCCAACCCAGTCCCCGGGCATGGAACCGTAGACAAGAGGGGTGAGCGTAGAGTCGGGGGCTGCCCAGAGCTGGCGGGCGGGAAGTTTTGAATGACGGTTTGGGATGGAGAGTGGGACAGACCTGCGGAAACGGTGTGAAGTTGAGGGTCCTACACGGGGGGCGTGGCCACACTAGGGAAGGGCGGGGAGGGGGGAGGGTGGCAGAATGAGGGGGAAGCCGGCCCAGGGAGCCAGAATCCAGTGGCAGGTTGGGAGGGAGAAGGGGGAAGGGGGAAGGGGGAAGACCCTCACCCCACTGTGGTCCCCATGGACACCCGGTTTGGGAGACTTGGGCTGCAGTGGGCCAGTGAGCAGGACACCGTGCTTAGGAATCTGGCCCATTCTGGGAGGTGGGGAGAGGGGGGCCTCCTTTCTCCTGCACCCACTGGGCTGGGCAAGCAGGGCCTTCCAGCCAGAGGCCACGAGGCCGTGGGTTTTTTTCGTGGGGCTTTTGCCATCCTGAGAGAAAGGCTGGGTGGTTGGGATCCCCCCGGACCCCACTTCCTACTGGTGGGAACAGCTGATGTCCTGCCCCTTGTCCCTTCACCCCAGAAGAGAGCAGGGAGGGACAGGAAGGTGGAGAGAGGGAGATAGAGCAACAGATGCTGCCATGGATGGAAAACTAGGCCTGAGGAAGACAGCTGCAGGTGGCAAGAGGGGACGGGCGTCCTCTCCCACGAGTGCCCTGCCTGTCCCCATGCCACCCTTTCCTGCCTTTCTACTCATGGCTCCTTCTTGCCTGTCCCCAGGAGTTGTGCCCCTGCTGCTGGTTCTGCACTGGAAACATGGGGCAGGGAGCCCCCTCCCCATCACCCCTGTCAATGCCACCTGTGCCACACGCCACCCATGTCACAGCAACCTCATGAACCAGATCAGGAACCAACTGGCGCAGCTCAACAGCAGCGCCAACGCCCTCTTCATTCTCTATGTGAGTTGCCCCTGGGACCCTGAGGGGGTGCATAGAGGGGGCTTGCACATGTCAGCAGGGGCTGCCCTGACTCGGGCCGAGGGGACCCTTTGGAGCTGGAAGGAGAGAATGGGGAGGGGACTTCCTCCTCGTGCTTTCCTGAGGTGCCCAGTCAGTGAGGGCAGAGCTGGGGTGCAAAGGGGGCCCCAGCACTTCTAGTCTTGCAACTGCTGGGTGGAGGGGCGGGAAGCAGGGATCACAGGCACCGTGTGCTGGGAGACAGTGCGCTGGGAGCGCTGGGTGTCGAGGGGTCCCCAGGAAGAGTGTGAGCGTGGCGGGTAGAAGCAAGCGTGCGCGTGTGCACCAGCTGGGGCGAGACGCTGGGTTTTCCCTTCTGTACCCCTTTGGTCACGGTGGTGATAATGATGACCGCTTGCATGGTTCAGGTCTTGCTCTCCAGCAAGGGCGCTCACACTGGGATTACTCCCGGCTCTCAGACTATTCTGGATGCCTATAGAGCAAGGAGTTGGGTGCCCATGTCACAGGTGGGGAAATGGAGGCCCCAGATTTTGCCCAGAGGGTTGGTGGCAGGGCTGGGACGCTGACCCCTGACACTTCTCCTCTGCCCCTCTGCTCCTCAGTATACAGCCCAGGGGGAGCCATTCCCCAACAACCTGGACAAGCTGTGTGGCCCCAACGTGACGGACTTCCCGCCCTTCCATGCCAACGGCACGGAGAAGGCCAAGCTGGTGGAGCTGTATCGCATCATCGCGTACCTGGGTGCCTCCCTGGGCAACATCACCCGGGACCAGAAGCTCCTCAACCCCAACGCCCTCAGCCTCCACAGCAAGCTCAATGCCACCGTGGATGTCATGCGGGGCCTCCTCAGCAACGTGCTGTGCCGTCTGTGTAGCAAGTACCACGTGGCCCACGTGGACGTGACCTACGGCCCCGACACCTCGGGCAAGGACGTCTTCCAGAAGAAGAAGCTGGGCTGTCAGCTCCTGGGGAAGTACAAGCAGGTCATCGCCGTGGTGGCCCAGGCCTTCTAGGCGGGAGGTCTCGAAGTGCGCCGTGAACCGAGGGATTTCGGGAGCGGGATCCAGATGTGGGGGGCTCTCTGAGGGTGGCCGGGGGACATGCTAAACCCAAATGGGGGCTGCTGGCAGACCCCACGGGGTTCCTGGCTGGTCCACTGAGCTCCAGGTGGGCTGTGCTGGAACCGAGCAGAGTCGTCACTTCCATGGGCAGGGCCTATAGCCAGCGCCCACCCCAAGAAGGTGCCCCTTCCTCTGGGAGATGCAACCACGGTGTCGGACTGGCAAGGGGGGTGTGGGCTGGACTTCTGCCCCCTCTTGTCCCCTTGGCCCATTGCTCTCTCTGTGCAGTGAGCAAATCTCACAAGTTGTCTACAGCAGCCCTGGCCACAGGGCGAGACAGCAGGGCTCAGGAGAGTTGCTGGCCCCAGCGAATGACCACCACTGTGCCTTTGCTGACCTTGAGTAGACTTCGGAAGGCTCAGGGGGCACTCGAGTGTGCCAGAGGGGCTGGGATCCCAGAGGACTCCTTGTCCTCTAGATGTTTGGTGAGTGGAAGACACAGAAGGGGCCCTGTGGTGGGATGCTGTCTTCTCGTGAGCTCAGTCCTAGGAACTGTCAGGTGGAAGGTTCTAGAAGGAGGTCACTGGTGTGCAGGCTTTTGGGGAGGCAGAAAAGCCACCTTCAGGCCTGGGAAGGAGGAGACCCTGGAAGCCTTGGCAGGCTCATCTTCTCTTCCCTGCGGTCTTTCCTGCAGCCTGGGCCGGCCAGGGTCTGGCGGTCACCCGGAGGTGTGGTTTGTGCAGGTGGGCAGCGCAGGGCAGGTTGTGAAGGTTCTGGGGACACCCAGCATCTTCCTTCTGGGCAGGGTCTGTAGGGGAAGGGCTGGGGTGGCTCAGAGCAGCGGCTCCCATTCGAGGCCCACAGAGGCCCTGTGAGGTCACACAAAGGTACTTGAGGGGGACCAGAGGCCGTCTCTGGTCCCTATGCAAGGGGACAGTAGAACTTGAGGTCAGGATCTCAGGAAAGCCTGAGATCCAAGAGTGCTGTGTCTGACCCAGCGTGATTTCTATTTATTGTGATGTCCTATTTATATTAACTTATTGGTGCTTTCAATGGCAAAGTTAATTCCCCTTCCCTGGTCCTTACTCAAAAAACATCTTGTGCCGGCTTCTTACACAGGAGTCAGGGCCGGGGCTTGGCAAGTTCTGATCTGGCAGCCGGTAATGTTACAAGTAGAACACGGTGAAGCTCAGAGAAGTGTCAGGATCTGAGAGAACTCGAGGCCCGGGTGGAGGTGGGGGACCCGGCTCCATCCCCCCATCCCCCCTGTGACACCCTTTGGAGGTGTCAGGGTCCAGGCTGCAGGGGCTGGGCCAGATGCTGGATTTTCTTGGTTGCAGGGGGCTGGTTCACATTGTTCTCTGGCGCCCCCTGGCTTTGTGCCACGAGGAGCGTATTCCTGGTTGAAAGGGCACCTCCAGCAGTGGGCAGGGCAGCCCTGGTGGCCTGCCCTGTCGCTGTTCCCTTGTCCCCAGGCTGCCTCTGAACTAGCAGTCAGGGGCCCTGGAACAGTCCGCAGCACCCAGCATGCTCCCACGCGGCGGGGAAGCTCCTTCGGTGGCCTGAACACCCACGGAGGGCGTGGGGGCCCGGCTGGACCCCGGGAAGTCGGGGCAGTGTTGGGGAGGAGGCAAGCGAGGCCTGAGACGGCTGGGACTCGGACCAGGAAGCTGTGGTCCCTCCTGCCCCACCTCCCTCCCACTCCCACCCATGTCTGGGCTCCCAGGCAGGGAACCCGATCCCTTCCTTTTGCTGGGGCCAGGCAAGTGGAGAAACGCCCTCCAGTCTGAGAGCAGGGGAGGGACATCGCTGCTCGGAGCAAGCAGTCTGAGCCCGGAGCAGGGAGGTCCTCCAAGTTCAGTGACAAGATTGTGGTACTAATTAGGGTACTTCACATTCACTTTGCACCTTTCTCTGTTGTTCTCTAAGCACTTTACCTGGATGGCGGGTGGGCAGGCCCTGAGGCCCTGGGTGGGCGTGGCAGGGTAGGAGTTGTCCATCCCAACAGCAAGACTAAGATGTGGCTGTTTAAACGTGGGTCCCCTCACCCTTGTCCAGGGTCGCAGAGGCTTGGCATGGAGATAGCTGTGCTTCCCCAAGCTGGCAGAAAGACACACATGTCTGAAAGCGGGTCCTGCCCACACTCCTGTCCCCTTGCCAACCTGCAGAATCGGATGCTGTGCGGGGGCCCGCCTGGTGGCCCCCGAGGGCTCAGGAAGCAGAGCATCTCCTCATTATCCACACAGCTGCTGGCTCCATGACACTCTCCTGCCCAGCCTGGACTCAGCCCTTCGGCACAACCCTCAGCTCTGTCTAGACCCCGCCGGGCCCCATAGCACCACTGAATCACGGAGCCCTCGTGCGACACAGCCTTGTGGGCTGGGAGCTGCACTTCTGTTCATTTTCATCTGCTCTTGTTGGCCACACCTGTCCTTGGGCCAGAGGAGGAGGGAGGGACCATTGGCAGAGGACAGGGCAGGACAGTCACTTTGTAATTTATCAAGAGACAAATATGGGGGCCTTTATTTATTATTTAAAAATTGAAACGAAAAAGCACTGCTAGTTTACTCATCTCTCCTCCCCGTTCTCCTCGTCCTCCTCTTTGTCCCTGGCCAGGGGACGTCCACCCTGGCCCAAGCAGTCCAGTTCTGCTTTGCTGGCTCTGCAGAGGTGATGTAGTGGGGTGGGTCGGAGCCCCGGAATCCAGCGAGGTAGCAATTTCCCTTCGGACGGTACAGATGCTCCTACCTTAGACCCGTCTCCGGTCCCCACCCGACCCCGGTACCACGTGCTGGCCCGGTGACCTACCTTGTGGCCTTAGAGGTTTCCCTCCTGCCTTTCCGCTGGAAAGGACTTGGCCTTGGTTACAATTTCCTCTTTGATGAATGTACCCTGTGGGGATGTTTCATACTGAGAGACTATTTTTATTTATTCAATGTCATATTTAAAATATTTATTTTTTATACTGAAGGAATAATTTTTTTTTTTTTAAGAAAAAAGAAATGAATAAAGAATCTGCTCTTGACTGGCTCTGCAGAGTGCGCTGATGTGGGGAGACGGGCTGGAGCGTGTGGGACGTCCCCACCCTGGGTACCGGCCGAGTGGGGCTCAGCTCAGCACAGGGCAGGAGGAAGGAGGAGGGGGCGCTGCACAGGCGGGGGTGGGTGGGCAGAATTTTGGCCAAGATAGAACAAGCTGGGTGGTGCCAAGATCATGGGGTGCAACACAGAAAGGGGTGGATTGCTCAGAAGTTGGGGAGGGTGCTGCCTGATGTCTTAGCTCACTCATTCCCAGCCCCCCACCTCACTCCCACAGGACCACCCCCACTTCCCAGAGGAGGAAACTGAGGCTCAGAGAGAGGAAACCACACGCCCACAGTCACCTGAAATGTTTAGGACCACTTAGGGCCACCCCTTTACCTCCAAATCTCATGCTCTTTCCCTACCTGAACTTCAGGGACCTGGAAGATACAAGCTGCCTAGGTCTCTGTCACCCAGGAGTGGTCCATTGATAGTGTCCCTATCCAGAGGGACATAACAGGACAGGCCTGAATGACTCCAGAGCAGGAAGGACAAGGGTCCTGCCCAGAACCACACAGGATACTGGAGCCAGAACTGAGGCTGACTCTACCCACCCTGATGGCTTTTCTGTGAGGCTTTTCCGGGCCCGAATAGCTCTCCCACAGGGGACACTGCTGTCCCTCCTCCTGCTTCACCCCTGGGGACCTGCTTCCCCGACAACCTTCTTCCCAGCCTCCTGGGACCTCTTCCTTGGGGAACTCGAGGTCAGGACTGGGAAGCCACAGACACTGGGGCTCTGGAGTGGCCCCGTGTCTGCCTGTGCTTTGCTCTGGGGTCTGGGTCTAGGGCTTCCCCAGCAGAGGTTCCTTTTGGGGATCTGGGCAGTGTTTCTGAGAGTCACCCACTTGTTCGTTCATGAGTGTTTATAAATGTCAGGTTCTGCGCCAGATTCCAAAGATGAATAGAATGTGGCCCAAACCTTCGAGAAGCTCACAGGCTGGTAGGGACAATTAATAACCCCCTGTGGGAGGATGCCTGTGATGGACCAGGCGCACAGCAGGCGGCGAGGTCAGGGTCGGGGTCGGGGGAGCACAGCTCTAGGAGTCAGGAGGGGATTGGGCTGTGGTCCCCTTTGCTCTGTGCGATGAAGGGCCTGGACCCACGACATTGGCCTCGCCTGGAGCTGATTAGACATGCAGAGTCTTGGCCTCACCCCCGTCCCCAAGATCTGCCCATTAACGAGATCCCAGGCGATCGGTGCACTCACTAAAGTTGGAGGACGGCCACCCTGCGCTTTCATCTCTCATTCCTCAGGAGGCCACGGCCAAGTGCAGATCGCCGAGGCAGTCAGGCCCACAGCTGTTTCTGAGTCGCCCCCCCTGAAGTACAGCTTCCAGCGTCTCCCGCCCCTCTGGGCTGGCTGGGGCCATCGGCCACACCCCACCAACGCCAACGTCCTCCCTGTCCCTGCTGCCCAGCGCTGGAAACACCCCTCCCTTCCACTCAGGGGAGACAGAGTCGAAGAGTTTCAGAAAGAAACGTTTACTGGGAAACTAGAGTGAAACAAAACAAATGGCAAAGCGCAGAAAGGGAGGGAATTATGGGGGTGTCAGATCCTAAGTGGGGCCCAGTGGGGTGGGGGCTGGGCAGGGCCTAGGGGGCTCTCCCTGCCTCCCTCTGGGGAATTCTCCAGTCTGGGAGAGGGCCCTGCCCCAGCCACAGAGAACAAAGGGCTGTTAATTGGTTATTGGGTCACTCTCCAAATAAGAGGCGAAAACAATCCCTTGGTGGGAGGAAGGGAGGCGCTTGCTCTGCCGGGAAGGCCCTGCCCCTGACACCGGGGTCCTCGCCTGGCTGTGGCCGGGCTGTACCACGTGCGGTCCTGTGACCCTCTCTGAGCTCAGCACTCTTATCTGTGAAATTGCAATAGTCAGTGATGAACGCCATCCTGTCTGCTTCACAAGGTTGCTCGAAGGAGCCAACAAGTAGGGAGGTAGAAATGCCCTGGGACTCGGGGCCAGCCCTGTCATGCACGGGCGCAGATGGGCAAAGCAGAGTGAATCTCAGACACGTTGCAGGGGAAAGGGGGCCGCGCTCCCCCACCTCCATGAATGCAGAAGGGAGGATTTGGACAGCCCTGAGTCCAAGGCCACTGACAGGTTGATGGGGAGGGTGCGAGCAGGGTGGACAAACGTCCCAGCTGATTCATCCTGATGGTACCTTGAGTCCCAGGCCCAGAGGAATTGAGGAGAGAGAGAGCCCCTGATCTCAGGCATATGGTGAGTCAGTTGGAAATTTCAGATATCCCCGTGGAAACTTCTCCCTTCCTGGCTCTGAGGAGCTCAACAGGACATGGGACCCCCCCACACCACAAAGGGACAATCACCAGCACCCATCCCGCAGGAACCCAAGCCCACGGGCTCTGTGATGCCCCACACTTCATAGTTCACAAATCGTTTTCCCACCCATCGTGAGAACCTCTTAGCTGCTCTGTGAGCTGGGACTGGGTTACTCTCTCCATTTCACAGATGAGGAAACTGAGGCCCAGGGAGGCCAAGGGACTATCCTGGCATCATTGGGCTTGTGAGAGATGCTCTTGGTGTTTGCGCATCTCCATGGGCACCACATGTCTGCCCACCCGGTAAGGGCCTCTGTGCACCAGCAGCTCGAGGGCTAGTTACTGGGAGAAGGAAGAGTCTCCCAGGTAACCTCTGCTCTAAATCCAAATACAGCGCAGAAGGGGAATCCATTTATTATGCTAAACAAGCACATTTTCAGCAATAAATATTAACGTCATAATGGAACCACGATGTATTTATTTCCCTATTAATAGTCCTCTTTTTGTAAACAGCCTGTAAAACAGCTTACAACAGAAGGCACAGATGAGTAATAAAAATACTGTTAAAGTGGATATAGAATCAGGATCAGAGAAAACATAAACAGAAAGAGAAAACTAAGAAAGAAAGAAACTAACACAGAAAGAAAGAAAATAAACATTTCAAATCTCAGGGGGCTGTGGCTGTAATCACCACGGCTCAGCTTCAAAGTTGGCTCTGAATTTTCTGGCAGCTCAAGGAAAGAGGGAAACGTGATCTTGTCACGTGAGTCTCCTAATCAGGAAAGAGGAGTCTCAGGGAAAGCAGAGCCTGTCCTGGGATTGGGTTCCAAGGGGAATTTCTCCCTGGAGACCCATGGTGGGTGGCAGTGGGTGACATGAGGGGCCCCACCTGCAGACACAACTGCCGTGCAGGTGTGTGGATTCCTGGGGGGCTGTTTCTGCAGCTGCCTTTGCATAAGCTGGTGCCTAACACCCAATGCAGCCTGCTGTAGTTTGAATGTGTCCCTCAAATTTCATGTTTTGGAAACTTAAGCCCCAAATTCATGTTGCTGGGCAGTGGGGCCTTTGGGAGGTAATTAGGATTAGATAAGGTCATCAGGGTGGGGCCCCCATGATGGGATTGGTGGCTTTATAAGATGCAGAAGGGAGACGTGAGCTGACACACGTACTCCCCATCTCTTGCCATGTGGTGCCTTCCCCCCTGTCCCCTGTGTCACGATGCAGCAGGAAGGTCTCACCAGACCCTGGCGCCATGCTCTTGGACTTCCCAGCCTCTAGAACCGGGAGCTAAATCAACTTCTTTTCTTTGTAAGTTACCCAGTCTGTAATATTCTGTTAGAATAACAGAAAACAGACTAAAATACAGTCCAATCAAGGGGATTCCACAAGGGGCCAGGATGACACAGGCACAAACTGGGGCTCTGTCCACCTGACCTAAGGGTGGACTTTTGAAGGTCAGGCAGGGGCTGAATGTGCCTCAGAAGCTTCCACCCTGTCCCCGGGATTTTAAAAACCTTTTTATTGGTGAGGGGCTTCCTCCCTCCTGGAAGAGCCATGAATGCTGGAGGGACACCAGGTGGTCTGTGAGCAACGCTGTGAGGAGGGGGCGGGAAGGAAGGCACCATGACCAGGGCAGGGACTTGGGGATTGGTGGCCTTGAGTCTCTGCCTCGTTCCAAGGCCACATGGGTCCTCTGGGACCCAGAGAGAAAGCCTTTTGTTGGTCACTGGTTCAGGCATCTAGGACACTTCCCGAGCTTCCTCCTGCCCCGGCAGAGGCCCCAGCTCGGATCCGTCCCTTTGACTTGGGGGAAGCACCACCCTGCTCTGGACTCACTTCAAGGGACAAAAATTTCAATTATGAGGACCCGGTCAAGCCCCGCCCACTCCAGCTGCACGCCAGTGCCTGGGGGCGAGGGGAGGGTGTGTGAAGAGAGGGTGTCTGGGGTGGGGGGCCGGGGGATGTAGGGCGAGAGCCACAGACAAGCAGTGGTGTGGGGGGGCAGCAGTAGGGGTTAGCCAAGCACAAAACCACCAGCCGGGGGAAAGTATGTGCGAGGCATTTTTGTAATTCCTAGTGGCTCAGTCCAGCTCCTGCCCAGACAGTCAATGAATCAAAGCCGGGAAGGGCTCTATCTGTCAGCGGGCGCTTTCCTCCTGCCCCTCGAGCCCTGGCAGGCCAGCTGGAACCCTCCCAGCTCCCCAGAAGGACGGTTCTTTGCAGATGAGAAGCATGCCACAGGCAGAGGCCTGGCACAGCAGCCCGTGGGTGCAGAACTTGGCACCCTCTCTGCCCTCTCTCCTGGTGCCCCCTCAGACGGGGTGTTGCCTGCATGTCCTGCTGCAGTGGGCTGCACGGTGGCCCCCCCAAAAAAGACATGGCCCAATCCTAGTCCCTAGAACCTGTGAACGTGACCTGATTTGGAACAAGAATCTTTGCAGATGTAATTCAGTTACGGATCTCGAAGTGAGATCACCCTGGATTTCTGGGTCAGCCTTAAGCCAATGACAAGTGTCCTTATAAGAGACACACAGGGAGAGAGGAGGAGGAGGCAGAGGCAGA